AGGTTGGCCGGCTGCCTAACCAAAGTGGGTGTGTCACACCTCCCCAGCACCCCCAGCAGTGGTGTGCCTGTCCCAATGAGGGGAAACTTCCCTTGTTTCCCAACCTGGGGTGCTACTGTGATTTTGCTGTACAAGTTTCTGAGTGTGCTGGGGAGTAGAGAAAGCCATTGGAAATACTCTGGAGACCACCTGTGCCATCCCTGAAAAGCCAGCAGGCTGGGAGAGAGCGAAAGAATGCCCACACGGGAAAAGCTGAGAGCCATACTTAACGGAAGCCGCCGACCACAGGGCGTGGTGCTACTTAGCAGGAGGGGCAGGCGCAAGGTTTGGAATCTGCCACTTACCAGCTGGGTGGCCTTGGAAAAGTGATTCTCTTCTCCCCTGGGTCCTAGTTTATTCCCTTGAGAAATGGGGTTGCTTCTGTAATGTCATTAGGCCGTACTGAGGATTTAATAAGCTGACATAAAACACCTACTGGCGCTGCGACATAGCTTGCACAATATTTAGAGCTAGGAATAATGTTACTATTAACAGTGTGCAAAGCTCTGATTGCAGATAGAAGATGACTTGGGGCCTGGAGGAAAATGCCAGGAGAGCTAATAAGGGTCTGGGATGAGGAAGGCTCCACCTCCCCTTGTTTTCATGGACAACTAGCTATATGCCACCTCCCTCCAAAGAAACAAGATGCTGTGCTTTCCTCTTGGCAAAACCCTGACTCCCCGGTGACTGACCTGAGATGTCAGAATAGCTTAATTTTTCCTTCATGAATGGAACTGGCCAAAACAGTGGGTGAGTACGGACTTCTCCACCGGCAGGAGCTAAAAATGACAGTGAGGCCAGCACCATGTCCACTTTCTAGATCAGATGGCCCCTCTTTTGCTGAAAGAGGTGCAGAGAACCCTGGGATAAAGTCTCCACCCCCCCCCCCCCACACACACACACAGAACATTCAGCAGAGCGAGTACCCAGTATAAACAAAGGGAGAAGGACAGCCTTCTTATTTTCCAAAAGGCACAAGATAATAAAGAGTAGAATGGAGCAGGGTATCAATTGGACAAAACCAAACCATAATCACCCACAATTTAATTGAACACATACTGTGTGCCAGAACCTGTGTGTAAGAGCTTTGCCAGTGGTACCTTATTTAATCTCTACAATTATCCTACAACATAGAACTTTTCATCTTCTCATTTTACAGCTAAGGAAGCATTTGCAACTTGCAGAGCACGAAGTGGCAGAAACGGACCGAGGTCTCCTCTGGTCAGAGTCCACAGGTAAGGAAAACCAGAGGTCAAAATGCTGGCTAGATCTCCAGGTTCTAGGTCCTTCACCTTCACCTATGACCTCAGGTGTCTCTGGGGGAAATAGAGGAAGGCAACAGGTCCCTTCCTGAGTTTGGTCCCAAGAGCAGTGCTGAGAGCCCGGTGGTGCCCATGCACATGGGTTTAGAGATAAGAGGATGAGGCTTAGAATACAGAGGCCAGGCCAGGCCATGAGGAAGTCTGGCCAACGAGTCATCTCTGACTCCAATTCTTTCACTACTAACCCACCTCGGTGAACTTTCTAGAAAACATCGCATTTGTGAAATGAGGGTGGTGGGGAAATAGAGGACAGACTGGAGGGCTACGGAGGCAACTTCCAGCTCAGAGGCGCTGCTGGACACTGGAGGAAATCTACCTGATCAAACAGTTCCCCAAACAGATTCAAAGGCGTTGTGTTCTCAGGGAGCTTTGCAAACAGCACGCTCCATTTTGCCAAGATGGAAACAGCCACAAGAACACACTTTACTTTGCCAAGAAAAAAAAAAAATAGCTACAAGGATAATTCATGCATGTAATGTTCTTGTTTTCGATGCCCCATGTAACTATGAATTAATTCTCAGAAGGACACAATGAGAGATTACAATGGCAACACCAAAATGACAAGCCTCTTTTTTCCAAGAAAAAGAATGGCTGCCTCTTTACATAAAGGATCTCACTAAAATTCTCCTGCATTCATACCAGACTCATTGGCATTTGAAATTAGAAGGAAATTTGAAGGTCAATTGATTTGACTCTCCAGTGGGTGCCTAAGTCTCCTCCCAATGTCTCTGAGGGGTACCTAGGGGATCCCTAAATACCTTCAGGACAAGAACCTGGTATCACTCAAAGCTGCCTATTGCGTTCATTGCATTTAAAAGATCATCAGCTCTGATCTTTTCCAAGGCCTTTCTCATACTGTCTGCAGCTTTGGCTTCTCCTTTGCACCTATGGCCAAACAGACCAACCCCACTGCTCCTCTACAACAGCGCTTCAAAACTGTGGCCCCTTATTCTTCTCTTCTACAGAGCTGTCAATCATTCTGGGATTATAGAAATAATCCAGTCACTGGGGTGGTGCTGTTTTCATTGTCATCCTTGTTTTTTAAGACAGATTTGATCCACAATTATTCCAAGATGATTACTCCTCCAAATAACCCACACTGCACATTTTCTTCAACCTATATTACCAGCAACACTGAGAGCTGATTATAATCAACTTGCTTTCATAAAAAGAAGGAATAAATCATAAAATAGACTTTAAGAATAACTACTTGACTAAAAGTATCACCAGCAAGCTTCTCCGTGTTCTCAGATAAACAAGAAAGAACTGTCAATGCTCTTTTCTCCATCACTGCCCATTCCCCACAGGAATTTACAGGACCAGCTTTCAAATCACAGAACCATAAAAACCATCTAGTCACGACCTCACATTTTATGATATGGAAATAGGTCCGGCAATCCCATTGCTTTCTCCTTGCCACCTCCAAATGTTTATTAATTCTCTGTACTGGGTTAGGCACGAAGGAAACCAAGGCACCGAGTCCCTCCCTGCCCTCTGAGCAGAGACCCATAAGGCAACGCAATTCAAGGAGTTTCAAACAGGTGGAAGCAAGTTGCTGGAGCAATCCAGCGACAGGCATTTGGAACCTTGTACAAAGGACCTGGAAGACAAAAGGCTGTTTTCTTTCTCTGTGCCTTTCTTTCACAGTGTCCCTCCAACTGAAACATCTGCTCTCCCTCATTTTTTGGGGAAAACTCATCCTTTAAGCTCAGGTATCACCCACGGACGCTGTCTCCCCAACTCCCCCTTTAACTGCCCTCCTTCTTTCTGCTTCCACAATCCTTTGTTCAAATCACACGCATTGTACGTAGCTTCAGGTACTGCACCATCCTTCCTGTGGCTATCTTCTCCATTAGACGTCAGGTTCCTGGAGATAGGGAACCGGGTTACTCAGTTTTATGTCTACTTAGTTCAGTTGGCCTGCCCTGGGTTTGATGCATGAACAAATAAACATTTTAGTAGACTCTTAAGAGTTATCAGGTGTTTGCCACACACAGTAGGATGGAAGAGAATTTCAGGCCCAGGAAGCCACATACAGAGGTACAGTGCTCTGAAACGGGGTGGGTGCCTGCAGAGCTGTGTGAAGGTCTTATGGTCGGATGTTCAGGGTGGCAGAGGTGGGCATGGAAAGAGTGACTGAGGCTGGGGCTTGGGGGTCAAGTTTGGGCCAGATGTGAAAAACCATAGAAGCCATGCTGAAGAGTATAGATATTGTCCTGTAGTCAGGGTGGGAGCAAAAAATCTTTAGAGTGGAGTGACATGATCCAATTAGTTTTTAAGATCACTCATGTGGCCAAAGGGAAAAGCACTGCACTGAGGATGGATAAGGCGAAGGGTGTGTTTGGAGCCTGCTGCTCGGTCCAGGACATGGGGGGCGGGGGGGATGGAGGACGGACAGTTGTATCAGAGGTGTTGTGTCCTGAGAACTCATGACAACCCCTGAAGGTAGAAGCACAGTGCGGACTCAGGTTTGAGAGCCTAGTTGGAACCAACAGGATTTGATGAGTAACCTGAGGTGTGAAAGAGGGAGAAGCAGCAACAATAGTGCCAGGTTCCTAACTTGGAGCCTCAGAGCAGTACAGACAATGTTAATAGAAACAGGGACCATGAGAAGAGGAACGGTTTGGGGGAGAAAGATTATGAGGTCATTTTTGGAAAGATCCTATGACAATCCTTCTAGATGCTTTCTATAGGTCCCGAGCTACCTTATTACTGATGTAACTAAGGGAGACAAAGTCCAAGTCAATCAAACACAAAAACCTAGAGTACAAGACAAATATTTTAATCCTCATAGAGTCGGATGGAGGAACTTTGATGATGTGAGGGCACAAGAAACAGCTTCAGATGAGAAATCTTTAGGTTCTGAGCACTACTAATATTTCTCGACCAGTGACATTGGTAGTTGTATGCAAAATATTCCCTAGGTCATCAGATTCCATATCTTTCTTATTTTCTGGAGCCAAGTAAATAATTTTCTTATGTTTTAAAAAATTATTATCACCAGCTGGCTAAAGTCCTCACACCACTCAGTGGGTCCCAGTCACCAGGGAGAATTCAGTTTACATTAATTATGTGATCCTATGCAGCCATTTTTATTGACTAAGGACCTCATGTCTTATTCAAAATGCTAGCAGGTATAGATACCGTGTTTTCCCAAAAATAAGACCTAGCTGGGGAAGAGGCCCTAGCATGAGTCCTCCAGGACATGGAGGGCACGCACCCCTCACATGAGGATTTTATGACCTGTTTCAGGGAGAAGGGTGCCTTTTCCACAAACTCCTTTAGCTTAAAATATTCAGCATGCCAAGGTGCCATATTTTGGCACCTAAAATCATGCGAGGGCTTATTTTCCGGCTAGGTCTTATTTTCAAGGAGACAGGGTATTGATGGGGGCAAAGTTCGAAGACACACTCATGAACAAATCTCTTCTTCCCCAGAACTGATCCATCTTTTAATCTAGCAACAGTCCTCTCTCCCTCATTTTATAGCAAAAGCTCTGAAGAGCAAGCAATGAACAGAACCTCTCTAGAATCCATTGCTCCACTTAAATAAACCCCCAAAGGACGTTCCTGTTCCATGGTTATCCCAAGTGCACAGGAACTGCTCTTGGTAGAGAAGAAACTGAAACTGCCAGCTCACCCTCTTCCTCAGGTTGTAGGTGAGAATGAGGTTCCGGGAGAAGGAGTGAGAGAAGGCCGTGTAGAACTCCAGCACTTTCTGCAGGGCGTCCCGTTTGATCACATGCAGGTCACAGTAGGTCAAGGCCCTAACGTTGGCACAGGACTGGGCAAGAGTGGCTTCCTTCCAGAACACATCTCCAAACACATCTCCTTTCCCTACGGAGAGAAAGTGGCGATGAGGAAAGTGTCAGCCACGACGGGTTTGACCACCCTTGCTGGCTTCCCCCTGCTCCCCAGAATTGCCATCCATTCGGCCTTCTGCAGCTTGGGCTCAGAAAAGGCGAAAATGATTTTTTTTAAGATTTGTATTAAAATATAGCTAACATACAACCTTCTATCAGTTTCAGGGGTACACCATAGTTATTCAACATTTATATACCCAAAGTAGTAATCACATGATAAGTCCAGCAACGATCGGACACCATACCAGGCTGTCACAATATTATTGACTGTATTCCCCATGCTGTACATTACATCCCCATGACTTACTTGTTTTATACCTGGAAATTTGGCCCTCTTAGTCCCCTTCACCTTTACCCCTTTTTAAATTTTTCAATTACAGTTGACATTCAATATTATTTTATATTAATTTCAGGTGTACAGCACAGTGGTTAGACATTTATGTAATTTAAGAAGTGGTCCCCCTGACTAGTCCAGTACTCACCTGGCACTATACAGCTATTACTGTATTATTGACTATATTCCCTATAGTTTACTTTACATCCCCATGACTACTATTTTTTTCATTATTAGTTTCAGGTGTACAAAACAATGCACTAGTTATCCTTTTCACCCCTCACAGAGTGACAAGCCCCCTCCCCCAATCCACTGCCCCTCCACCCCAATATCATACATCTCTATTACAATTCTATTGACTCCATTCCCACACTCTACTCCACATCCCATGACTACATATGTATTAAATTATAGTTGACATATAATATTATTCAATGGCATCTTCAGATGTACAGTGCAGTGGTCAGGCCTCTACACCGTCCTTGAAGTGGTCTCCCTAACCAGACATGAGTCCATCTAACCCCCTAAAAAATATTTACAACATTATTGATTATATTCCCCAGACTGTCTTTTGTATCCCTGAGGCCATATTGTAGTTACCAATTTATGTTGTCTCGTCCCTTCCTTCATCCCCACCCCCTCCCAACTAGCAATCAGTTTTTCCTCTGTGTCTCTGAGACTATTTCTGTTTACATTGCTCATTTATTCAGTTCTTTAGATTCCACATATAAGGGAGATCAGATGGTATTTGTCTTTCTCTGACTGACTTATTTCACTTAGCATAATGTTCTCTAGGTCCATCCATATCATTTCAAATGGTACGGTTTCATTCTTTATAGCTGAGTAATACTCCATTGTGTAAATGGACCACAGTTTCTTAATCCAGTCGTCTACTGATGGGCATTTCGAGTGTTTCCAAGTCTTGGCTATTGTAAATAGTGCTGCAATGAACATAGGGGTGCATATATTTTTTTGAATTAGTGTCTCGGGTTTTTCTGGATAAATACCTAAGAGTGGAATTGCTGGGTCATAAGGTCGTTCCATTAAGGCAACAATGATTTTAATAGGAACCTTAACAACATGCAATTTAAGAAACTTAAAAAAACTACCACATAATACATGTCCAAGTTTAACCAATGACTTTGGGATTGTTAATGTTACCTCTTGAACATCCTTAACCAAGTGAGAACTCTCTGTTATTCTTTATCACACCCCCATTTTGGGGAAATACCAATCGTAATCACTTGTTGGGTTATTGTGTATCTCCCAACACGAAAGTTCATGTGTTTTATCCCTCCACATAATAGTGTCTGGCACATACTAGGAGTTCTGTCCGTATTTAGTCTAAAGGGAAGTGAGGAAGGAAGGCAAACTGTGGGTCTCCATTAGTGTGACTAACACAGAGCTGACGAGTAGGCTGCTATGGGGAGGGTGTGGACCCTTCATCGGATCCAAAGAACAGAAGAGGTCGCCTCTGTTTAGGATGCTCTACGTGTAAGAAGCCAGGCAAGAGTGAAGTCCATCCTGTCCTGTGCTCTGTCAGCTGCCCTGACGATGCCCAGACCTCACCCTCTCTCCCATGCCTCCTCCATATTCTTCACCGTTGCCAATTGCCCTCCTGGCAGTATAACAAGATGGTCTCTATATAAATGGCATCTCCAGGATCCTCTATGCCTAGCATTCCACAAGAGTGTATTTTGTAAATCAACAGAATGTTAATCCCACAGAACCATATTCTGGGTCAAACTTCTATCAATCTCTAAATATCTGATTTTCATAGCTAAGGATCTTCTTCCTACTTTCCCAGCCACCAACACTTGAACATATATCTAATGCAAAGCCTAATTCAATCCCGGCACAGCCTCTGGCTGTAAATAGCTTGAAATGTTGCTTATCTTGACTCTAAATTTTCACCACAGAGAAACACAAATTCGAATCCCCAGGGAGCCAGAGAAGCATATGCGGGGGAAGGAACAATACCACAAGGGTGAAAAGTAGTTCTGACAACCCTCAGGACAGTCGCCAGCCCTGTACCCACATCCGTCATACTCCGCAGCTGGAACCCAGTACCTGTGACTCAGCGTGATTACCATGACTAAGGAGGCAATTAGACTCTCAAGCACCATGCCAGAACTTGACCTTTTCTCAAACCCCAAAAGTGTGATCCCAAGGACATAAGGTACTCCATGGACACAGCTTTCTCTGAGCACTGCCACCATGTGAGCTGAGAAACAAGTGTACTAGACATATTACTGCACAGTTCTCTATGTGTTTGTGGAGTAATGTACAGTTCTAATTTATGAAGATGGTTTTATTGACTCAATATAGTGAGATACACGCTTGTGGGAGCTTTTCGGTAAAGGTAAATATGCCTTTCAAACTGTGCTGCTTCAATTCCCTAACCAGGTGTGTGATGCAATCATCTGTAATGTGAGTTGGCTAATATGGGCTTGGGGCCAGTGGATGGGACTGTTTCCCTCTATGGGGTGCGACCTGGCTTCCAGGGAGACAGGCTCGGTGTGCGCTCCCCAGTACTGAGTTCTGCCCAACAAGGCTGGCCAATTCGTTCGTACCTATTAATCATTCTGTAACCTCCCCTACACTGCACCACAATGCCTCTCCTGCCTTTCATATTTATGTAATCTTATTCCTTTAGAGAATGCTCTTCTTCTGACACTCATTATGGTAGACAGTCAAAACATGGATCTCATCTGTATACTGCAACTCACAAGAGGCAAAGCTGAATTCCCTTCCCCTTGAATCTGAACTGACCTTCGTCCCTTGCCTTGACCAACAGAATGTGGCAGGGGTGAAGTTCTAGGATTTCTGAGGCAAGGTCTTGGAAGCCTAGAAGCTTCTGCCCGAGTATCTGGATCATTTACTCTGCAAGTGCTCCATCTAGGAATCCAACCACCATGTTTTGAGAAGAACAGGCCACACAAGGGGTCACATATAAGTGCTCTCTGGTGGACAGCCAGCCTCTGGAACTCATGTAAATGAGCCATCGTGGCCACCCAGCCCAACCGAGCTGTCAGGTGACTTTAGCCCAAGCCAACACTGGACTGCAATCATATGAGGGACGCCCAAGCAAGAACCAACCCGCTGAGCAAACACCCAAAGAACGCTGAGAAACAATAATAAATTTCTTAAACTACTAACTGTAGGTTTATTATGCAGACATAGATAACCAGAACACACATGATCATAGAACTCTAAGCTGAGAGGCCCATGAGAAATTACTTCAAAGGACACCTAATATTACAGCAGGACATCTCATAGTCCCAGCTCTGAGATGGCACCCCATTTTTCCCTGAAAGAAAGACAAGAAAGAGCAAGGAGCGCTGAGCATTTTGAATATCAATGAGAAATGCAGAATTTACAAGACTCGCCAGCTCCTATTGGGAAGAACTGGGGCATAACTAAGCCAGAGTTATTTCCAGTAGAAGTGCATTGGTAATCCTGCCTGACTCTTCATAAAATTACTTTGTTTAAACAAGATCTAGCATACAAGCATTCTACTTCTCAAATGAATTTGGGAGTTATTTTTCTAATTATAAAAGAGCCCATACAGTAAAATAGCGCCTCGTGTGTATTTAACATATGAATTTATCTGTAAAAATTCAGTTTACAGACAACTTTTCAGGGGCATGCCTATTGCTTAAAATAAAGTACAAGTACATCGTGGTTGAATCAATTATGAACTAAATAAGTACATCTTTAGAATGACAACATCCCCATTGTAAAACGTTTTCCAATCAAAGGTTCTGACAGAAACAATAAATGAAGGGGTAGCTCCTACCACACAAAGTATTTCACGCTAAGATAATCATGATTAATCTGGAGGGTCTAGGAAGCCAAGTGTTGTCATAACTTGGATCTGCTTTTCAACCCGAATTGGAAATCGTACAATCTTTCTTTTCCTGTCAAGGTGGCATTTTGGGTATAAATTACGTTAGTGAGATTTAAGAATGTGGTGTCAGAGGACCTGTCAGATTCCAAACAAACCGGAGACTATTGTGACAGGTGAGAAATGCATTTGCGACACACATAACTTGGGAAAGATGTCAAAGGGGAGGAAGGATACAGACCATTGGGCGGCTGCTTGTAAGTCACACACATCACTGGGAATGGCTTCCCAGGTCAGCTTGCGAACCAGAGGCAAGGACAAGCCCTTACACCCACACTCGTCTCTTGTTCCCTAGCGTGAAATAATCATTCACGGAAGAACAAAAGGTACCCCAGTACATTCAGCAAACTACTTGAGGCAATCAGCTTATTGATTTATGTATTACGCCAAGGTGCTGGGTGCAGAATGGTAAAACCTAACGTTCCGACTTTCTAAAATACATTCTAAGTGGAATTCTGAGCTGAGAGGAAAATAAAGGGGGAAAAAAAAGAGAAGGAAAGGCAGGCAGTCTAATCAAAACTCCTAGCAAACATCCCTATAATAATTACTTCTCCCGCCTTCCCAATGATACGTAGCCGCACCTCCACTTTTGCAGTGAGCATAAACAAACTTGTGGGGTACAAACGTGGGGCTGAAGAAAAAACATAGGTGGGAGATGGGTCTCAGGGCTGAGGTGGCACAGGGAGAGGTAGGGGAGATCTCTGCAAGGGGCACAGAATAGGAGAAAAACAAG